CATCTGACACGTCAAACATTTTATTAACACCGGCCGTAAAAGCCTTCATACTTATCTATATGTTTTTAAATGATTTTAAATAAATTAAGAGTGAATGAAAAAATATCTGTCAACATGAAATGAAGTTAGGATTCTCTCTCGGGTAAAACTTTGACCCAATTTTTCCTTCATCAAATAAGAAAGTTAGGATAAGAAGTGATTGCGTTCTGCTACCTGCAGGTTGTCTGTAGGCTATCGGTAGGTTGATAACGGCTGCACACAGCCTAAGTGGAGCAATTTGAGAGGTGATTTAAATGTAGTGTGTCGTTTCTTATTTTTTTCTGCTCTTATTATTAATATATCGGCGGACGAAAACATGGTTTAAGATATAGAAAAGACCAAGCTTTCCAACCGTGTGCTTAGTTTTTCGCTATCTTTCTAGATAACGAAAATATTGGCCCGAAAAGTAGACGGAAATACAAGGGAAAAGTTTGTTGCTGGGCTGAAAAACGATTGTGCAAACGTGTGATTGAGATGTGTTATATACCGATGAAAAGAGCAGAAAATTTCCCATAAGATGAATATAGTTCTAGAGTTTTCTCAACGTCATATAAGAGAGTTATTGACCCAAGCGTGGTTTAGCCGCGGCAAAAATTCGTGGCAGCGCGACGTTTCTTATTTTTTCTTGCTCTCATTATCAACATATCGGCGGACGAAAACTCGGTTTATGATAGAGAAACGACCAAGCTTTCCAACCGTGTACTTAGTTTTTCGCTAGTGTTATAAATAACAAAGATATCCATCCGAAAAGTACATAGATGGAAATACAAAAGTAAAGTTTGTTGCCAACTGTAGGCTCCTTTTCAGGAGCGTTTTTTTTACAGACTGCGACAGATATTGACGGACGAAAACTCGGAATAAGATAGTCCAAGGTCAGCTCTTGCCGAATATGTAAACCATTTATTGAATTTCCATCTGATAACGGCTGCACAAGGCTGTGAAGTTTGATAATTTTGAGGTAAATTGAATGCAGCGCGCCGTTTCTTATTTCTTCATGCTCTTATTATCAACATATCGGCGGACGAAAACTCGGTTTATGATAGAGAAAAGTCCAAGCTTTCCAACCGTGTGGTTAGTTTTTCGCTATCTTTCTAGATAACGAAGATATGGGCCCTAGAAGTAGGTGGAAATATAAAGGAAAAAGTTTGTCGCCGGTCACTTTAAGGCAGTTTAATTTCTCAATTAGGTTGGCCAGCGAAATCGTTTAATCTAATGATCCTAGACTACTTTCTACGTAAAACTACGTAAACAAGCCGCAGACCCTCTAAGCCTTCAAGAAAAATTCATCCATTCCGTTACGCAAATAACTCCTTTAGAAGATATCAATCAATATCTTCAACATTAAGCATTAAACGTCGTCATTTAAAGAAAATGCCGTTAAGATCTACGAATAAGTAACTATTTCAATAACTCATTTCATCTATATTCAGAAAACTTCTTGTAAACTTCACGTTCATAGATGTAATTTTGAAAAAGAAACTATAAACATCGAGCGTTAAAAACGTCAGTTAACACTCGAGTTAAGCACAGAATAATGAGCTACCAAAACTTCGTTTACGACTTCTATTAAAGAAGTAACAAGATCTAGCAAAAAATTTAAAAGGCAGCAATGGTCAAATACGAAAAGCTGGCGTTTGAAATAAATTAATATAGGATGAAATAAAGTTAACAATGTCAAATCTAATTTTATATACTTGACCTTTTACAAGAAACAATGTAATGTGCTGGACTAAATTAGTGGGCCTTCATTTATATACAGGTGTCTCAGCGAGACCGGTCATTAGACGTTTCTGGGGTTCTGGCGAAAATAAAAATTTGAGAATTCAGACTTAAGTATTATCAATTACGATCTCTTCGTCTAAAATATTTTCAGATTTCTTGCACTTCCGGTTATACCGGAAGTCGCCACCAACTTTATTTTTTTAAATGGAACACCCTGTATATTTTTACATATTTGGATTTGTCTGTTTTCAAGGTTTATAAATAACTTTACTTTTTGCAATTTGATTCGGCCGTCCCCGAGTTATTCGATTTTTTCTAGAGAAATCTGCTCCAGCAGACATTTGTTCAAAAAATCAGAGAACACTCGATTTTTGGGATATCAATTTAGGATTGAGAACATGCTTAAGCAACATGATGGAGTATGTTTTGGTGATGAGAACTGCTGTCTAGAACGTTTGGTCCCTTTACTATGGCACGTTAACTTTTCAAAATTTGGAAGTACCATAACTTCATTTTTTTAAATGGCATCCCCCATATTTTATTTCTTAGTCGTCTTCGGTGTCTCATTCTACATCTTTTATATCCCATATGTCCCATACCTAATATTAATAGTTTGGGAGATAATTAGGGTTTTTTGAAAAATGCACACATATCATATGGATATTTAGCCTAGTGTGCCATGAAAAACAAACCTTCTCAATGAGTTCTTGTCAAAGACTCACTTGTTTACGTCACTTGATGCATGTGAGCTAATAATTATCTGTTATGTCCCTTAATACTAGTACTGAAACGAGTTAAAATCGATAACAATAACAAAAGTAATATTTACACAAATCAAGAAATTCTTAATTTATTTTTTATGCATGAAAAGCGCGACAAAGTTCGTAGTATGATTCCCAGATCTTCTTTGGCAGCTTGAATTGAGGTGTTGGGACTGGGCTCGAAATAAACCAAGGTATTCACCTCTTCCGTTGCATTATCTATTATCTATAAGATGCAAAAAATTTGCTTCTATTCTTCTAAATTTACCTTTTGTCATCGGAGATAAATGTGGATAATTTTCATTAAACATTCTGCAAGTTCTACTAAGAACTTTGTCGCACTTTTCGTGCACAAAAAATAAATTATGGATTTCTTCATTGGTATAAACATTATTTACGTTATTAATATCCATTTTAACTGGTTTTAGACTAACAAGCATCAAACAACGTAAATCAGACTTTGACGTTTATTAATAAGTCATTAAACATTTGTTTTCCATGGCACACTGGGTTAATATCGATATGATATGTGAGCATTTTTCAAAAAACCCTAATTATTTCTCAAACTATTAATGTTAGGCATAGGACATATGGAATATAAAAGATGTAAAATGAGACGCCGAAGACGACTAAGTAATAAAATATGGGGGGTGCCATTTAAAAAAATGAAGTTATGGTGCTTCCAAATTTCGAAAAGTTAACGTGTAATAGTAAAGTGACCAAACGATCTAGCCAGCCGTTCTCGCACCAAAATGTACTCCATCATGTTGTTTAAGCATGTTCTGAATCCTAAATTGATATCTCAAAAATTGAGTGTTCTATGATTTTTTGAACAAATGTCCGCTGGAGCAGATTTTTCTAGAAAAAATCGAATAACTCGAAAATGGCCGAATCAAATTGCAAAAAGTAAAGTTATTTAAAACCTTGAAAACAGACAAATCCAAATATGTAAAAATATACAGGGTGTTTTATTTAAAAAAATAAAGTAGGTGGCGACTTCCGGTATAATCGGAAGTGCTAGAAATCTGAAAATATTTTAAATGAAGAGGAGAACGTAATTGATAATACTTAAGTCTGCATTCTCAAATTTTTTGTTTGGCCAGAACCCCAGAAACGTCTAATGACCGGTCTCGCTGAGACACCTGTATAATACGCTCTTAATTATATACAAATAGAAGAATTGCTATAACAGAATAAATTTTGTTATCGATCCTCCAAACAATAATTAAAATGAACCAATTAAATAATTAGAAGATAAAATAAGATCATTTTTCATTTTTTTTTGTTTAAAATAGTACTGTTTAAAAGTAAATGATACAGCAAAGTGGAAGAGAAAAGATAATAAACAATATTAATTTTAGACCAATTCAATAATTCACTTATTTTAGCAACCTCGAACGTTTTCATCAAACTACTTAAGATTCCAATTCTCTTGTTTCAATAATATACATTGCGAACTGATTATTCGCTCTGCAATATTTTTGCATAATGTGAAACAACTTGAACAAGTTAAATATAAAAGCGTGTTGCAAATCTACTGAATGTAATTTTCTTACAATAAATGAATGATTTCGAATTCACATTTTATTATGTTTTCTACTCGATATGAAAGCGATATACTTTTGAAACACCCTCTCAAAAATAACGGTGAATTGCACAAGAATCTAAATTTGCATTTGTATTCCAGGTAGAGAAAGGACGGGAACTTTCCGAATTTTGTAACATATCTGAATTCAGAAGTGTTATAGATTATGCCGATGCACATCCGAATAGTTTCACTGAATTCTATGAATATAAAGCTACCTGCTTATCAAATATACATTTCCCTTAAGCTTACTGAAAATATAAACAAGTTAAGGGGGTTTTACCATAACTTTGGCTACCCTACATTTAAATGAACTCAAGTTAATGTATATTTCCGTTTTTTAAACCGAAAAATATTCATAGTGGTATTTGATGTCACAAATTGTGAAAATCGGATTAAACTTAACATACATGAAACATCCAACTGGGTGTAATTACTTAAGGTAATCCTATTGTACTAGAGTAGTAACGATCAATCCTAATTCGGAATAGGCATTTACAGAATCCAACGAGGCGGTCAATTGGAAACGCAAATGGAGAATGCCAAATTGGGGAATAATTTTCCATTAATAAGTGATGGTAGCGCTTTTTAGTACAATTGGTTAAATAATTTAACTACACAAAAGATCTAATTTAGTTAGCCAGAATAATATAATTTCACTTCAATTTATTATGTTTAAATGCGTTGAAAACAACGTGAAAATTTAAACAATCGAATGATCTAAACGAATGAATGAAGTCGATGTGTTCGAACAACCCTAAAACCCGATAATAAAACAACTTTCACGTATTGTGGTACTATTTCAAATCAAAAACATATAACTTTAAAAGAACTTTTTCGCTTTATATATATTCTATAAAAGAAATAAAGAAATCAAACTTCTTCATACTTACATAGAGTGACATTCTTTAGAGTTTTTTCGAACGTGGCGTCTCGCGAGGAGACAGAAAAGTTTTTAGCACAATAGCGGGTCACCTGTTGTCAAAGCGAATGTTTTTAGTTGAAAAACTTTTCGCCGAGATACGTTATAGTTCGGGACAGAGAGACGTTAAAATCGACTTCTAAAATGTCAGAAAGACGGCACCGCGACGTCGCTGGCGTCGGTAGACTGACGCTCGGCGTTCAGTTCTGCCGGTTGTTCGTTCTACTGGACCATGCGTATAACATCGAGACAATTTCCAAGCCTTTTTCTGGCAAATTGCCCCCAGAAATCGTTTATGCAAGATTTAGTAACATCTGCACTGTTGGTGCATTCCAGATTGATTGATTGATAAAAATTAAATTTAATTTTATTATTAAAAAAATTATTCAAATCGCAAAAAGTATTAAAAGCTAAACAATATTTTTGTATATGAACTTCCTTGATTCTAAAACTTTTATCGAGCGATTAGCTTACTTTCAAAAATTGGATTTTTATATCAATCGAAGAAAATTTTTCTTGGGTTAAAAATACCTCAAGAAGGCGAACAAGATGAAGAAAATGCTTCAAGATTCACAAACTACCTGGAAAAACTATTTTAACCTGAACCTCCTAGAAACTATGCTGGCGCACCGCCAGGTATCATTGGACATGAAAGTAATACCACTTGTAGATGAATTGATAAAGCAAATTGAAACCAATATTAACTCGAAAAAAGCTCCCGATTTCGAGTGCGGGAAGTTAGCCCCCCATTTTTTGATTTTTAAATTTTTTATTGTTGTTCTAGATTGTTCTAGAGTTGTTCTACATTGTTCCAAAGCGGCAAATCGAAAAGATAAAAACTCCGCGAGAAAACCGAAAAAACAGGTTTTTTGACTAGCCCCCCATTTTTGGAAAAATCAAATTTTCTTTGTTGTTCTGGGTTGTTCTATTTGTTCTAGTTATTGTTCTAGAAAATCAAAATTATGGGATACAGCATTACGAAGTTATAACTAAAAATTGGTTTGGCCGCCGAAATGTCTAGTTGATCGCTGTGACCATAGTTTTTCTATTATCAATTCCATATTACAAATATATACTGATTATAGCTAACGCAATCTGGAACAGCTATTATTTTCACTAGAACAACTTTCTAAAGGGCACTTTACTCTTTGAAAATTAAAGTTTTTGGAAGTTTCAGTCAGTAATTCTTGTGTCAGCGGTTTTATATTACACAATAAGAATTAAAAAACATAGAACAATCTAAAATAACTCAAACTTTGCCGATTCAAATTGTTCTAGATGTGTTTTACGTTTAACACGGACATTAATTTTGCAAAATCACATATTTTTTGTTGCTCTAAATTGTTCTTGTTGTTCTAGGTACTTAAAATGTTTATTTAATCACTGCGGCTTTAGTTCTTTTAAAGTTTCATATTAAAAATTAGTACTTACAACAATTAAAACAATTCAGAACAGCTGTTATTTTCACTGGAAAAACCTTAAATTTGAGTTGTTGTGATATCGGACAGGTTTTGTTGAATCAGTGAACCCAACCTTTAATATAATAATAGTTTTAAAAAACTAAAAAAATATGGAATAATCTGACCATCCTAATTTTCTAAAAATCACAAGTTTCACCTTTCTCTTTAAACTTATAATAGTAAAACATAAGTTGCGATTTAAAGTGTATTTTATTTTGTATAAACTAAGTAATAAATTAATAAATAAACTAACAAATAAGACAATAACTATTCGATCAGTATTACTATATCAGTACAATAACTTATTCTAAGGTAAACTATAACTAAATAAACTAAATTATGTAAATAAACTAATATCATGGAATAATACGGTTACATCACTTTCCTCATTTATAAACATATATGCACATTTGTGCATTTATTTCAGTAGCTTCTTCAACTTGTACGGATTTTTTTCGTAAGTCATTAAATAATATCCAATTGGCATTGTTGGGCACAAATGCTGGGTACTGTCCTACATCATTCAAAGATTGAGTACCTTCGTAACTGATGATACCTGCAGGGATATAGAATTTGTTGTGGAGTAACAAATTGCGTGCGTAATCACTCAATTTTGTTTTATTGTTCTCTCCATTCGTTGTTTCTATAAACAGACCACATTTTTTTGCAATTGTTACTTAGAGTTTGCATGTAGTTTTCTATTACTTGCTTTAGCTGTGCATAGCAAAATATTGTTACGATGTCAATATCGATTGGTAAAATTATGTTTTTATGGAAAGTAACGTTTAAACTATTATTGCAGTTTTTAGTCCTACAATAACTAAATTGTTCTTTAAACAGTTGTGTGCAAAGAAACGCAATATTTGAAATAGCATTCATTATTATTACGCCGGCAATTTTCTGGCTTCCAAAATAATTTATTCCTGTTAATAGTTCAGTTCTTTTTTTATATGTTGCTTTACTAGAACCGGTTTTTAAAAATAATTTTAGGAAACTAAAGCAATCTGTGCAAACATTCTCAACATGATTTCTAAATGAATTGTGTGTACGGGCAAATGCTAAACTATGAAATATGCTGTCGAATCCGCAAGTATTTTGAACAATATATTTTTTATTTTTTATTGAAATAGATATTAATGAAACTTACTTATGAACTTATGAAAGAATTACTAACTGAAACTTCCAAAAATTTTAATTTTCAAAGAGTAAAGTGTTCTTTATAGAGTTGTTCTAGTGAAAATATTAGCTGTTCCAGATTGCTTAGGTATAATAAGTATATATTTGTGATATGGAACTGAAATATAGAATATAGTGACCATAGAAAAACTATGGTCACAGCAATCAACTAGACATTTTGGCAGCCCAACCTACTTTTGTTAGTTTAGTTTATTTATTAATTTATTACTTAGATTTGCAAAATAAAATACACTTTACATCGCAACTTATGTTTTATTATTATAACTTTAAAGAGAAAGGTGATTTTTAGGATATTAGATGGTCAGATTATTCCATATTTTTAAATTTTTTAAAACTATTATTATATTAAAGGTTGGGTACACTGATTCAACAAAACCTGTCCGATATCACAACAACTCAAATTTAAGGTTTTTCTAGTGAAAATAACAGCTGTTCTGAATTGTTTTAATTGTTGTAAGTACTAATTTGTAATATGAATCTTTAAAAGAACTAAAACCGCAGTGATTAAATAAACATTTTAAGTACCTAGAACAACAAGAACAATTTAGAGCAACAAAAAATATGTGATTTTGCAAAATTAATGTCCATGTTAAACGTAAAACACATCTAGAACAATTTGAATCGGCAAAGATTGAGTTATTTTAGATTGTTCTATGTTTTTTAAATCTTATTGTGTAATATAAAACCGCTGACACAATAATTACTGACTGAAACTTCCAAAAACTTTAATTTTCAAACAGTAAAGTACCCTTTAGAAAGTTGTTCTAGTGAAAATAATAGCTGTTCCAGATTGCGTTAGCTATAATAAGTGTATATTTGTAATATGGAATTGATAATAGAAAAACTATGGTCACAGCAATCAACTAGACATTTCGGCGGCCAAACCTATTTTTAGTTATAACTTCGTAATGCTGTATCCCATAATTTTGATTTTCTAGAACAATAACTAGAACAACCCAGAACAACAAAGAAAATTTGATTTTTCCAAAAATGGGGGGCTAGTCAAAAAACCTGTTTTTTCGGTTTTCTCGCGGAGTTTTTATTTTTTCGATTTGCCGCTTTGGAACAATGTAGAACAACTCTAGAACAATCTAGAACAACAATAAAAAATTTAAAAATCAAAAAATGGGGGGCTAACTTCCCGCACTCCCCGATTTCGACCTTATAATCAGTCGGATCCTGAGCTGCCGTGAAAAGTATCGTTCTGGCTTAGTGTTGTTAAATACCGGGGTATTTATTGTCAAGGGGAAATTTTCTGGATATACATATACCCAGGGGTATTTACCCAAGATAGGTATTTACAGGTATTTATGAAATTTAAAAACTACAAACTTTGTACTACAAAGACTACTAAATAATAAACAAGTTTAATTCAAAAATGGTTATTTATACAAAAACTCATACAAATAAAACAATAAACAAAAAATGATATATTAAGTTTTAATCATAAACTTGATCTATTCTAAATTACGACAGATTCGTCTGATGATTGATAGTACGTCTTCGATCGTTGACAATTTCTCGTCTTCAACGTCCATTTCATCATTTTCTTCTCCATTTTTTCCGAATCTGTTATATTTTACTTGTATCACTTTTATACGTACTGTTTGATGAAATGGATATAATATCCATTTTATATACAGGATGTCTCAGCGAGACCGGTCATTAGACGTTTCTGGGGTTCTGGCCAAACAAAAAATTTGAGAATGCAGACTTAAGTATTATCAATTACGTTCTCTTCATCTAAAATATTTTCAGATTTCTAGCACTTCCGGTTATACCGGAAGTCGCCACCTACTTTATTTTTTTAAATGGAACACCCTGTATATTTTTACATATTTGGATTTGTCTGTTTTGAAGGTTTATAAATAACTTTACTTTTTGCAATTTGAACCAGCAATTCTCGAGTTATTCGAATTTTTCTAGAAAAATTTGCTCCAGCGGACATTTGTTCAAAAAATCATAGAACACTCAATTTTTGAGATATCAATTTAGGATTCAGAACATGCTTAAACAACATGATGGAGTATGTTTTGGTGCCGAGAACGGCTGTCTAGATCGTTTGGTCACTTTACTATGATACGTTAACTTTTCGAAATTTGGAAGCACCATAACTTCATTTTTTTAAATGGCACCCCCCATATTTTATTACTTAGTCGTCTTCGGCGTCTCATTTTACATCTTTTATATTCCATATGTCCTATGCCTAACATTAATAGTTTGAGAAATAATTAGGGTTTTTTGAAAAATGCTCACATATCATATGGATATTAACCTAGTGTGCCATGGAAAACAAATGTTTAATGACTTATTGATAAACGTCAAAGTCTAATTTAGGTTGTTTGATGCTTGTGAGTCTAAAACCAGTTAAAATGGATATTAATAACGTAAATAATGTTTATACAAATGAAGAAATCCATAATTTATTTTTTGTGCACGAAAAGTGCGACAAAGTTCTTAGTAGAACTTG